AAGACGCCTCGTTGAAGACGCCTCGTTGAAGACGCCTCGTTGAAGACCTGCTGAGTTTCTCCTCTCGTCTCGTCCAACAAAATTATTTTAGTTTGGATATAAAGAGCAAAACCAGACCTGCAAGTTAAACTAATAATGCTTAGTATTTAAAAAAAATCTGTTTCGCATGCGTGTAGGCTGCGGACACTGCGGCTCAGGCTAACCGTCATTAGCGCACTGAGCTAATGCTACTAGCTTGTATATCATATCAGAGTCAGTAAAAGAAAAAAATAAATCCAAAATTAGTGTTTCTACCACGAGTATGTGAAAGAAAAATAGTTTGTTTTAAGTGGAAAAACTTTTATTTGGAAAACCCCAAAACCAAAACGCTCGTGTCTGACCCCCCAGAGACACGAGTAAGTTTGACTGAAAACGAGGCCTCGTTTTCAGCTTCCTGACGGGTCTTAAACTCCAGACTGGAAATTTTATTTACAGTAGTCCCTCGCTACTTCGCGGTTCGTTTATTGTGAACTCGCTTTTCTGTGGTTTTTCAAAATAAGAGTGGACATGACGCACAATTGGCTGATTGATTGATGAGCCGTACAATCGGCATGACATTTTTATTTTAAGTAATTTATTTTAAATTATTTAGCACCTCCTGCGTCTTTGTGCAGTCCGTACTGCTGCAGGATAAACTTCCTGCTGCAGCTGATCAGCTGTTCACCTGCAGAGCAGAGAAGTGGGCGTGGCCAAGAGCGCTTGCATGTGGCAAATGGCAGACGAGGCAGGGAGTTGAATCATGACATTATGTCTCGTTTAGAGGTTTACAGTTTAGAAACTTTGTTTAAAATATTGCAAGAGTGTGGGAAGGGTTTAAAACTCCTTTTTATATATATTTTATTTTTTTAAATACTAAAATAAACTACTACTTACTACTTGTACTACTATTCCTACTTTGTGGTTTTTCACTTATCGCAGGTCTTCAGGGTACAGATCCCCTGCGATAAATGAGGGACAGTGTGTAAATAAAATTATTTTATTCATACTAATGAAGGAAAATGTCTTAAAAATTGTTAAACATGTTTTGTATCCATCATCTTTTATCCACTTCTTCCTTTTTGGGTCGCGGGGGTCACTGGTGCCCATGTCCAGCAGTCACTGTGCGAAAGGCAGGGGACACCCTGGACAGGTCTCCAGTCCATCACAGGGACATGTAGAGACAAACGAGACAAACAACCATTCTCTCTCTCACCTAAGGACAATTTAGAGTTACCATCAGTGTAACATGCATGTTTCTGGTCTGTGGGAGGAAACTGGAGAAAACCCACGCATGCACGGAGAGAACATGCAAACTCCACCCAGAAAGGACCCGAGCCGGGATTTGAACCGGGGACCTGCTCACTGAGAGGCAGCAGCTCTACCGACTGCACCACCGTGCTGCTCTATATTATTTTATAGTTTATCTATAAAAATACTGAAATATGGAGTTTTATTAAACAAAAGATGAATATAGAGTTAAAATACTAAAACTTAAAATGGTATATTTTTATTTCATGCAGAGATAACTAAAAGATCAAAGGAGATTAGTGGGTCTCAGGAGGAGACCACGGTGGTGGGTCTACCTCTGTCTGACACAGCAGAGAAGGTTTATTTTGGTGTCTACAGCCAGCTGGCAGAGGACTGGGGGGTTTGAAGCATCAAAGCTGATAACTGGAGACCGAGTTCAGAACCAGGACTCAAGATGTCCTTGACTCCCTCATACCCGTCTAGTGGCTACAGGGGACAAAAATGCACCAGAATCTGCTGAAGTCATCGTGAGATCCTTGTGGTCATTCAAGACCACTTCTCTTAAAGACCAGAGAAATGTTTAGAAACCCTCACAGACTGAGAGGTCTGTCTGTCTGGACTCTGAACGATCTCGCCTCTTGTGTGTTACCAAAGAACCTCATGACCCATTGGACAGGTTGGAACGAAACCTTCAGAACGTCTTCCTTGGAGTCCACACCTCGGCCCTTCCAGGACTCTTGTGGTTTCTTTGCACCTTTAAATCTGTGACTCAGTTTTCCTTCCACCCGTGTTCTTCTTGGTTCTGCTGCTCAGTTTTGTTTCATCTTGTTCACCTCATTAAAGTGAATTTCAGCTCAATTAAACCTCCCTGCAGTAAACTTTAATAAAGGCCGACTGGATATTTAATGTTGATGAATGAAATATGCAGCTTCCATTCCTAAAATCACCGTGTTCGACTGAGACTCTGCTCTAAAATGAACATGATGTTCGTTAGGAGGCATTTTAGTGAATTACTGGTGGTGGTAGCTGAGAAACTCAACTTTTGGATTCATTAGAAATATTATATAAAATTACAACAAGTCCCCACATTAAGTGCTCTTAATAAAATCTACCAATTCATGAATAAAACCATCTCCGTTAGGTTTGAGTTAATGTTTGCAAAAACACTTCAGTGACAGATTTGTTTAAATTAGTTTGAATATTTCATTTAGTCTCTGGGACAGTCAGAAGTTCACCTCCATGTGGTTAAACAAGTTACTGGAAACCATTTTCACTTTTTCAGAGTTTGACCTTCTTGTTTGATCAAGTCTGCTTCTTTTTTATTTATTTATTATTTTATTTTAAAACTTACAACTTTAAAACTTTAAAGCATTAAAGGTCAGAAAAACAGTCACATAATTTATCAAATGACATTTAGTAAAAGTTATCCAAGGAAGCAGCAGATTGTTGAATCTTCTCTTCATCCAGAGCAGCACGTTGGAGACTGTAGGAAGAAACAACTTCCTTTGAACAGGAAGAAACCTCCAGCAGAACCAGAACCAGAACCAGGCTCAGGATGGACCGCCGTCTGCCTCGGCTGTCTGGGGTTAGAGAGACACAGATTCACAGGAGGTGGTCCAGGTGTGGTTTCTAAAGTCCAGGAGTGATTTATATGGTCCAGGAGAAGTTTCTATGGTGGTTTATATGGTTCAGGTCAGGTTTATATGGTTCAGGTGAAGTTTCTATGGTTCAGGTGAAGTTTCTATGGCTCAGGTGAGGTTTCTATGGTTCAGGTGAAGTTTCTATGGTCCTGCTGCAGTTTATATGTTCCAGGAGTAAATTACAGTATATAGTCCAGGTGCAGTTTCTGTGGTTTCTATGGTCCTTGAGTAGTTTCTTTGGTCCAGATGTAGTTTCTAAAGTCCAGGAGTGATTTATATGGTCCAGGAGAAGTTTCTATGGTGGTTTATATGGTTCAGGTCAGGTTTATATGGCTCAGGTGAGGTTTCTATGGCTCAGGTGAGGTTTCTATGGTTCAGGTGAGGTTTCTATGGTTCAGGTGAGGTTTCTATGGCTCAGGTGAGGTTTCTATGGTTCAGGTGAGGTTTCTATGGTTCAGGTGAAGTTTCTATGGTCCTGCTGCAGTTTATATGTTCCAGGAGTAAATTACAGTATATAGTCCAGGTGCAGTTTCTGTGGTTTCTATGGTCCTTGAGTAGTTTCTTTGGTCCAGATGTAGTTTCTATGGTACATGTGCTGTTTCTATGGTTCAGGTGTGGTTTCTATGGAAATAAAATTATGTTATATAAATAATTCCAAATACAGTACCAGTGAGACTCTGGGACTAGTCCAGAAGTCCTGGTGGACTTTAGAGAATGGAGTAGATGGACCATTGGAACTTCAACATTTCTTCCACTTCCTGTACAAACAGGAACTCTTTTCTCTTCTTGCATCTTTCTCAGGAAGTCATATCGTGGTCAGAACAACCCTCTGATCCTGTCCATCAGAACCTGGCGAGACCGTGGACATGAATCTCCAAGAGATTCTGTTTGGATGTTTCTGATGGGTGCTGGTTTCTGTCTGCAGGTCTACAGAAGTCCTCACTATGACTGATGGAGATTATGACTACCTGATAAAGCTCCTGGCCTTGGGGGACTCCGGCGTGGGGAAGACCACCTTCCTGTACCGCTACACGGACAACAAGTTCAACCCCAAGTTCATCACCACAGTCGGCATCGACTTCAGGGAAAAGAGGGTGGTGAGTTCAGAAACCCGCTTATGGTTTTTAGAGAGACCGGGTTACCATGGTTACTGTGACATTTTATCCACGCTCTTGTTTGTTTATTTTATCTTACCACAAAACAAACAACGGGTCAGGTCTCGATTATCTGATGCTGAGTCACAGCTCGGTTGTTTGCTGTTGGACGCCAAGGCTCGTTCCTACCTCCGTGCACACGTTGGCAACAGTAGGAGAAACCAGGGACCCCATAGCACCCCCATGTTCTGTCTATAGTATGCCCCGCCCTTTTCAGGGACACCACCGAGCCATTGGTTCAGGTGTGCTGATGACACCTGGGCTAAATTAACGCCCCCACTAACTCAGGAGCCAGGCAGAAGGAGAAGTCCCACACAAGACGTGACAATAAAACAAAACGCACAAACACAACCACCATGAACAAAACACAACTTTATAGCATCATTCAACCACGACAAGTACGAACACAAAGCAGACCCACAAGACTTTTATAAAAATGTATACTTCTAAAACTTAAGCACCTAAAATATTAGTCACTTAGAAATTTGCCTGTCACAATAAACAATAAATCAATACATCAATTAATCACATGATGAATGAAAAGGATCGACCTCATTTTCATTTATCAGCTTTATCGTTTCTTCATGCGTCTCTTTCTACTGAAGACACTGGACGACAAAAGATCAACTCCGGTTCTTCACTGACCCCTCCCTTTCTCTTAAAATCTGTTTAACCGTCCAACATCGTGTTTTTGGATCGTTAAAAGCAGCTAAGCTACGAGCTAAGCTACGAGCTAAGCTAACAGGCCGACCTCAGGGAAAAACCTCCGTCTTGTCGAAGCTCCAAAATTCACGGTTGAAACCCGTGCCTTCGTGTAAAAAGTTATTTTTCTCTGCAAAAAGTAGCTGAGAACTTGTTTACTGATTTTTTAATTAAAAGTTTTGTGTGAAAAATGCTAAAGAGCTTAAACCACACCAGCGTCGGCCATTTTGAGAACTGAAGAGACTCAGCCCATGTCACGTCAAGGGGCCTCCCTCCCATTTTTCTTAAAGACGCTGCTCGCTCCCTCACTATCCATCCTTCAGTTCAAACAATGTTATACTGCCATCCAGTGGTCTAAAAAGGTACTACACACAAACATTAACCAACATTTCTTCTTAAATTTGATAATAATGACTAATTATTATAAAATTTCAAACAATATTATTGTTTATCTCAATAATTTTTGAGACAATCGCCCTGTAAAATCTGTTATCGTGACAGGCCTACATAGAAAATTCTACATTAAAAAGCACATTTTCATCTGTTGTGACGTCTTCAGGTGAAATCTTTTAGAAATCAGTTAAACTGGTGATTCTAAAGGAAGACCGAAGAAATTATTGACAGGATGTCCGAACAGCTGCTGCTTCTTCTGATTTAAAAAAAGGAACATGGACGAGTTGATTTCATCGATTGATCAGAATATTTTGACATGAATCTTCCAAACCTGACGCGCTGCTTTCATTAGAAGTTCAAAGGTCTCAAATGGTTGAAGAACCGTTCTAAGGTCTGAAGACGCTTCAGGAGCGAGGCTGCTCAGTGGAGTTTGTGGCAAAACCTTCTTCTGAACCTGGTCTCAACACTAAGTTGGATCGTTCAGGTCCATGTTCAGCCATGAGAGGAACAAACCTTGAGCCTGAAACGTTTCCAAAGATACCCACAGCTCCCGACCCTTCTGGCACCGTTCACAGCTCCAAGCATTTTAATGAGGCGGTCTGTCGGCGTCACGTTTCCAGGGGTCCGCCGGCAGCGAGCCTCCAGAGATCTGTTTTTACACCTGATCAACCGAACACTGAGATAACTGACTGAACCTCAGCCTCTTGTAGATGTTCAGAACATTTCACCCAAACCTGCTGACCTGATCTCAAACTACCTGCACATGCAGTTATTTCTCTGTTCTACTAAAAGTAGTTGATTGTGACACGTGGGAACTCCGAATTCATCAAACATTATATTTGCTCGTTACATTTCTCACCTGAGGACGTCGCAGTAATTTTACCGGGACGATGCATTCTGGGGCGATGACGAACATCGGTTGTAGTGGAGCCTGAAACACGAGGAGTCGAGGCAAAACGTTGTCACATCTGACAATAAAGTTATAATTTGTATTAGTCCTTCTGCACCAAACACGAGTCGAAACGATCAGACGTGATGAACGTGAGATGTTTAATAGCCCTGGAGCCGACGTCATGTTTATTAGCTCTGACGCAGTTAAAACTGAGTGGAGCTCGCACCGAACCCATGCCGTTACCCAGAATGCATTGCAGTGTAAATAAACTGGTGACGTCTGTGTGTCGGTTATTTTTAACTTGTATAACTGAACAGCCTGCAGTTTTTTTACTTGTCATCATTAAAGCTGGGGTCGTTGGTTCCAACAAGATGTTTTTGAAGGTTTTAACGTAGAGCTGTGTAAATGTTCTCGTCTGCTCCGGTCATTAAGCCCTCACCAGATGTTTGCAGGGGTTTTAACGGTTCTGGTTCTTTGTCTTCAGGTCTACACGGCGTCGAACCCCAATGGGACGGCCACGGGAAAAACCTTCAAGGTCCACCTTCAGCTCTGGGACACGGCTGGACAGGAGAGGTGGGCTTCTGGTCCACCTCAGGTGGTCCCATTGTCATCAGAACAGTAACTGAACCCTTTTAACGGGTCGTCAGCTGTTTTTAATTAAGTTTTAATATTTCATGAGAAAATCACACAACTGGTGCAGCTGCAGGAAATTCAGCACTTTGTCCGTCCGTCCATCCATCCATCCGTCCATCCATCCATCCATCCATCCGTCCGTCCGTCCGTCCGTCCGTCTGTCCGTCCGTCCGTCCGTCCGTCCATCCATCCATCCATCCATCCGTCCATCCATCCGTCCGTCCATCCATCCATCCATCCATCCATCCATCCGTCCGTCCATCCGTCCGTCCGTCCGTCCGTCCGTCCGTCCATCCATCCGTCCGTCCGTCCGTCCGTCCATCCATCCGCATCTTGAGCAGGGCGGTCCAGACATCTCTTTCCACAGCCTCTTCCAGCTCTTCTGGGAGGCCTCCAGGACGATCAGTGTCAGTTTCTTTATCGTTCCACCTCATGTGGTACATGTGGTGGAACGATATGTCCACAGTGTCCCAGTTACATCCAACAATAAAATGTAAAAGAAAAACAGTAATAAGATCAAAGATATGAACTAAGAAAGACATCAACTAAATATACATTAAGCACTAATAGCATAAAAACTTCACGTTGAACAGCAGCACGAACATGAGTCTGTGAGCAGATGAGCACAAATGAACACATCAACATGAAACAGATCAGCAGCAACATGAAACAGATCAGCAGCAACATGAAACAGATCAGCGGCAACATGAAACAGATCAGCAGCAACATGAAACAAATCAGCAGCAACATGAAACATATCAATGGTAACAAACGGATCAGCAGCAACATGAAACAGATCAGCAGCAACATGAAACAGATCAGTGGCAATATGAAACACATCAGTGGCAACAAACGGATCAGCAGCAACATGAAACAGATCAGCAGCAACATGAAATGGATCAGCAGCAACATGAAACGGATCAACAGCAACATGAAACAGATCAGCCGCCTGAGGAAGTAGAGTCTCTGATGATCTTTCTTCATCAGGCTGGTGGTGGTGTTGCTCCAGCTGAGGTTGTTGTTCAGGTGCACACCCAAGTACTTGTAGCTGGAGACCACTTCCACCACAGATCCTCCTATGTTCAGAGGGGTGTAGGTGTGTTTGTTCCTTCTGAAGTCCACAATCATCTCCTTCATCTTTTTCACATTGATGTGAAGGTTGTTCTTCCTCCTCCAGCTCTCCAGGTGTTCCACCTCCTCCCTGCAGCTGGACTCATCATTGTTTGTGATGCATCCCACCACCACTGTATCATCTGCAAACTTTACAATGTGACAGCCTGGATGGGTAGCTGCACAATCATACGCAAGCAGAGTAAACGGGAAAGGGCTCAACACACATCCCTGAGGGGAGCCAGTGCTGAGGGTTATGGTGGAGGAGGAGAAGTTGTGGATCCTCACTGACTGTGGTCTGTTTGTTAAGAAGTCCAGGACCCAGTTACAAATGGAGGGGCTTAGTCCTAGTGTGAATAGTTTGTCCATCAGGGTTTGGGGGATCATGGTGTTGAAGACAGACATGAAGTCCACAAAGAGCATACGGACTAAGAGTCCTGCTCCAGGTGGGTGAGAGCAGTGTGGACCACAGAGGAGATGGTGTCTTCTGTTGATCAGTTCTCACGGTATGAGTACTGATGAGGGTCCTCGTTGATGTTGATGGTTGTTCTGATGTGGGTCATGACCAGTTTTTAGAAGCATTTAGCGACTATCAGGGTGAGGGCTACTGGTCAATAGTTATTCAGACCAGTCACTGTAGAGCTTTTTGGGACTGGGATGATGGTGGTGGTCTTCAGGCAGGTGGGAACTGTTGCCAGGGTGAGGAAGGAGTTAAAGATGTCGGCCAGCACCTCGCAGAGCTGATCGGCACAATCCCAGGACAACTGAGAGACTATGTCTCTCCAGTGTGTCCTGGGTCTTCCCCGGGGTCTCCTCCCAGTCGGATATGTCTGAACCACCTCAACTGTCTCCTCTGGATGTGGAGGATCAGTGGATCTAGAGTCTCTCCTGATAACTGAACTTCTCCCCCTGTCTCTAAGGGAGAGTCCAGCTCCTGCAGAGGAATCTCATTTCAACCTCCTGGATCCACAATCTCATTCTTTCAGTCTCTACCAGAGTTCATGACCAGAGGTGAGGGGAGGAACGTAGACCGACCAGTAAACAGAGAGCTTTGTCTTACAGCTCAGCTCCCTCTTCACCACAACGGACCGGCACAGAGTCCACAATACAGCAGATGCTACACCAATCTGTCTGTCAATCTCACAGTCCATTCTTCCCTCACTCATGAACAAAACCCTGAGAAACTTGAACTCCTCCACTTGAGGCAGAACCTCAACCTCGACCTGAAGAAAACAATCCACCTTCTGTCTGAGGACAATGGTCTCAGATCTGGAATAGCTGGTTCTCCTCCCAGCTGCTTCACACTCGGCTGTGAACCGCTCCAGTGAGAGCTGAAGATCACGGCACGATGACGCCAACAGGACCACATCATCTGCAAAGAGCAGAGATGAATCCTGAGGCCACTGAACTGGACTCCCTCCACCTAGTTAAAAGAAGCTATAAGGCAACTAAACAGAGTAATGGGACTAGCTAAAAGCTAAAAGAGCATAAGAAGATAAAAACAGAGCCAGTTTCTGGGAGCAGATTTGAACGAGAACATTATTTTGAGAGAGTTGTAGAGATTTCCATGCATGTCTATGGGGAAACATTTTGTAAATAAAGGTATATAAAACTTTCAAAAACCTATCCAACATTTTTCAGTCAGGTCATCTGGACAGTTTGTATTTTTGTGCTGAAACGTTTCACCTTCGATCCGGAAGGCTTCATCTTTGTTGTTTTCAAAAAACCTAATTTTAGAGCCCCCATTTCCTGAACGAGCCGAACGTTTTGATATAAAAACAGCTAAAGGAACACAACGTGTGCAGAAGTTGTTGGACTGCAGAGAAACCTCAGAAGAAAAATAAATCAGGAAATGTTTGTTGTGAACGGCGTACAGGCATGTTTGTGTAACTGGTAAACTGGAGCCAGCCTGGTTCTGTTCAGGCTGGTTCTGAAGCCCGGATGAGTCACTGCTGATGAGTCAGAGGTCGTTACGTCTTTAAAGCTCAGCTCAGAAACTGGACCTCCCTTCTTCTTAAAACACTCAACAGACGTCTGGGGACAGAGGAGACCAGTTTTTCCAGTTTAAAAATAGGAATGCTCTCCCATTCATGTCTAATACAGGCCTCTAACTGTTCAATCGTCTTGGGCCTTCTTTGTCGCACCTTCCTCTTTATGATGCACCAAATGTTCTCTATAGGTGAAAGATCTGGACTGCAGGCTGGCCATTTCAGTACCCGGATCCTTCTCCTACGTAGCCATGATGTTGTGATTGCTGCAGAATGTGTTCTGGCATTATCGTGTTGAAAAATGCAGGGTCTTCCCTGAAAGAGATGACGTCTAGATGGGAGCATATGTTGTTCTAGAACCTGAACATAGTTCTCTGCATTAATGGTGCCTTTCCAGACATGCAAGCTGCCCATGCCACAAGCGCTCATGCAACCCCATACCATCAGTGATGCAGGCTTCTGAACGGAGCGTTGATAACAACTTGGGCTATCCTTGTCCTCTCTGGTCCGGATGACATGGCGTCCCAGTGTTCCATAAAGAACTTCAAATCGTGACTCATCTGACCACAGAACAGTCTTCCATTTTGCCACACTCCATTTTAAATGACCCCTGGCCCAGTGCAAACGTCTGAGCTTGTGGAGCTTGCTTAGAAATGGCTTCCTCTTTGCACTGTAGAGTTTCAGCTGGCAACGGCAGATGGCACGGTGGATTGTGTTCACTGACAATGCTTTCTGGAAGTATTCCTGAGCCCATTCTGTTATTTCCTTGACAGTGGCATTCCTGTTGGAGGTGCAGTGACGTTTAAGGGCCCGGAGATCACGAGCATCCAGTAGAGTTTTACGGCCTTGACCCTTACGCACAGCGATTGTTCCAGATTCTCTGAATCTTTTGATGATGTTCTGCACGGTTGATGATGATAACTTAAAAGTCTTTGCTATTTTACGCTGGGTAACACCATTCTGGTATTGCTGCACTATCTTTCTGCGCAACAATGGTGGAATTGGTGATCCTCTTACCATCTTGGCTTCTGAGAGACACTGACACTCTGAGAAGCTCTTTTTATACCCAATCATGTTGTCAATTGACCTAGTTAGTGTTAATTGGTCTTCCAGCTGTTCGTTATATGTTCAATTTCCTTTTTCCAGCCACTTATTGCAACTTGTCCCAACTTTTTTTGGATTTGTTGACACTGTGAAATTTTGAATCAACATATTTTTCCTTTAAAATGTTACATTTACTCAGATTAAACTTTTGATCTGTCATCTATGTTATATTACGAATAAAATATTGACATTTGCCATCTCCACATCATTGCATTCAGTTTTTATTCACAGTTTGTTTAGTGTCCCAACTTTTTTGGAATCCAGTTTGTATGTGTCATTTTCCACCAGTTTGGAAGTCATACTATAGTATGTGTCATTATTCAACAGTTTGGAAGTCCATCCATCCATCCATCCATCCATTTTCTTTGCCCGCTTATTCCATTTTGTGTCACGGGGGTCGCTGGTGCCCATGTCCAGCAATCACTGTGCGAGGGGCGGGGTACACCCTGGACGGGTCGCAAGTCCATCACAGGGCCACATAGAGACAAACGAGACAAACAAACATTCACTCTCTCACTCACACCTAGGGACAATTTAGAGTTAACAATCAGCCTAACATGCATGTTTTTGGACTGTGGGAGGAAACCGGAGTACCCGGAGAAAACCCACGCATGCACGGAGAGAACAAGTTTGAAAGTCATACTATAGCATGTGTTATTTATCACCAGTTTGGAAGTCATACTATAGCATGTGTTATTTATCACCAGTTTGGAAGTCATACTATAGCATGTGTTATTT